GATGGAAACGAGGAAGGAGGGGAGGAAGAGGGAGGAGGAGGGGGGAAGGAGGGGGGATAAGGTGGAAGAGGATGATGCACGGACCACCGAAGCATACGACGAAACCACTGTGTAAGACGAGTTACATGTACAGGGTGTCGTCGTTGGCGAGCACGAATGTAACACGTCCATCCACGGGCTAATGTGGATGGAGCATGGCCACGGGAAAGCAAACGGCGGACAAGCATGGTTGCCGCAGTCACGCCAATTGTCACAAATCTGCTCAAACCGCGTAAGCTGACCGGCGAACACACCTGCAGGTTGATGGGATGGAATGTTCGACGTTGCACTAGGATATCGTATAACAGGAAAATCCCATGCAACAGTCTTATCAAGCACACTCAATCGGAGAGATTCGTCAGCACGTGTCTGCAGTTTCGCACCTAAAAAGGTGCACGAGCCATCAGCCGCAGTGGTCTCTTTCCATTCAAGACCATAATAGGCTAGCAATGGTGGCAGACAAGCAAAGGTAAGCACATCATCAATGAACCGATAAGTGATATCAGAGCGCCAAAGCGAAAAACAAACAAGAAAAACAAGAAAAACCGAATTCGTTTTTTTATATCTTCTTCTTTACAACTCCCCCTGTTCAGAACCTCTTGCGTACAAGGCCGCCCACGTGGATGTAGGTTGAGCAGCGGCTGCCCCCACCCCCGTGTGTCATATCGACCCACTTGCACACAGCCAAAAGGCAAAGAGGCAAACAAAAGAGGAAGGGAACAGCCAAATAATACAGAACAGGGGGCAACAAAACAGATCCCAGATGCAAGCACCGCCCCTGCCCACAGGCCAAACGACGGGACAAGACCAACCAGGATGTCAAACATTCTTGTCTGCAAAAAAAATAAAAAAGAACCCGGAGGACCAGTATAAAAAACAGTCCCGGATGACGATTCCCACATGCAAGCACCGCCCCGCGTTCCAAAAGGCCGAACAACGGGAAACAACCAACCAGGATGCCAAAACAATWAAAAAGCCCGGATGACTGGTCCCACATAAAGCACCGCTGCCTGCTGACTGAATAGACCGAATAACGGGACAAAACCAACCGGGATGCAGACAAGATTACCATAACAGATCTACCATATCCAGAGTAAAATAAACGGAACCATACAGTAGGCCCGCAAAACGAAACACCCCAACAACGGGGAAGAATGAGCAACACAAAAGAAGGGGATGATAGGACAATGATTCAGGCTATTTTCGACGTAAATGAATTCTTGCAGGCACTAACAAGAGAATCAAGAAATGTTTTCTACCATAACCAAAGAAGATCCTGCTAGTACAGGCCCGACGCTCGCCGCATCATCTACAAAAGCAGAGAGCTAGCAACGTCGGAGTATATATTGTCTCAAGAATATCAGAGCACAAATGCGAACTTAAAAAGAGAAAGAAAGAAAAAGAAAGAAAAACAAGAAACGGTCCAAATTAAAAAAAAAAAAAAAAAAAAAAGGAAGTGGCGGGGAAACCGAAGGCAGATAGGGAGAAGAGGGGTCTGCTCGCCACGTTTCTGGTCCAGATGCAATGACAATTATCAGGATCATGATCAGCTCCGCATCCTCCAAACGCAGATGTGCGATCTTCAAATTCTTAGAGAAGCGGTTGGAACGTATGAAGAAGAGGACCAGGTCTAGATGCACGAACCCGAACTACAAGCTGGTCCAGATGCAAAGAATAATGATCCGGAGCTCCGTAATATAAACACATGCAGGATCTTCAAGTTTCCCTGACGGATGGAACGTTCGGAAAAGAAACCAAGTCCATTAGATGCACGAACCTCACCTCGAACCTGGCCTAGATGCAATGAACTAGGCGACGGCAACATCCAAAGAAGAAACCAGGTCCATAAGATGCACGAACCTAACCTCGAACCTGGTCTAGATGCAATGAACTGACGACTGGAACATCCAAAGAAGAAACCAGGTCCATAAGATGCACGAACCTCACCTCGAACCCTGTCTAGATGCAATGAACCAGGCGACAGCAACATCAAAAAAAAAAAACCAGGTCCATAAGATGCACGAACCTAACCTCGAAMCTGGTCTAGATGCAATGAACTGACGACTGGAACATCCAAAGAAGAAACCACGTCCATAAGATGCACGAACCTCACCTCGAACCTTGTCTAGATACAATGAACAAGCGATGGGAACATCCGAAGAAGAAACCAGGTCCATGAGATGCACGAACCTGACCTCGAACATTTCAAGTTAATAAATAAATACGACGCGTTCGCAACACCCGAAGAAAAAATCAAGGCTACCAGATGCACGAACCCGACCTCGAACCTGGTCCAGATACACGAACCCCACAACTGGAGCCTTGGTAGTCTAGAAGCACGAACCTCAACTGTAACCTGGTCTAGATGCACGAAACCCAACTCTTAACCTGGTTAAGATGCAGAGAACTGACAATTGGAACATCCGTAGAAGAGAGACCCCGGGTCTACTACCTAGATGCACGAACCCGACCCAAACCTGGTCTAGATGCAATGAATAATGATAAGGTAACCGTAGCACAAACACAGATGCATGATATTTCAAGTTAATACAACGAGACGGCAACATCCGAAGAAGAGACCAGGGCTCCCCGATGCACGAACCTGACCTTGAACCTGGTCAAGATACACGAAGCCCCACTCGAGACCTACTCAGTGTAGATGCACGAAACCCCAATGGTGACCTGGTCTAGATGCACGAATCCCGACATTCGAAGAAGAGACCAGGGCCCCCGATGCACGAACCTTAACTGGCACCTGGTCTAGATACACGAAGCCCCACTCGAGACCTACCCAGTCTAGATGCACGAATCCCAACTCGGACCGGTTCTCGACGCACAAACAAACCCCAACTCGACCCTTGTCTAGATGCAAGAACCCGAACTCGATCCTGGTCTAGATGCAATGAATATATTGATCAGGCCCACATGGTTCAGAACACAAAGACGCATGGAGTTCCTTCGGGACATCCGTTAAAATTGGAACGATACAGAGAAGGGTAAATCAGCAAAACGGCCCCTGCGCAAAAAAAAATAAGGATGACACGCATAAATCGAGAAACGGTCGGAAAAGAAAAGGAACAAAAAGAGGATTAAAAATAAAATAAAAAATAAAAAACACAAAGACGCATGAAAGTTGAGCCAACGGTGGGAGACTAAGATCAGGTCTAGATGCAATGAACCTCGACCTCTGAACCAGGTGTACTCTCCATACTCCTGTGTTTGAAACTACGGAGACTCTGATCATTATTCATCGCACCTAGACCATGTTCGAGCTGGGGTTCGTGCATCTAGACCAGGTTCCAGTTAAGGTTCATGCATTTGCATGCATGTCCTTAAAAACTTTATCCCACGTCGGACGTCGGATTACCAGGTAGGTCTTCATACTCCAAGCACAGATACACAACGATCGTTAAACTTTTCCTTTTTTTTTGGTTCTTTTTTTAATTCTTCTTTTTTTCATTCGTTTTTTGTCTCTTTTTTTTTCCTGTTTGCACGATCGCACGTTCGTATTCCCTTTTTTGTTGCCTTGCACGATTTTCAATTCAATCCAATGGACGGGATGTCTAAAGACGAAGACCAGGTCCAGATGCACGCACGACAACTTTGAACCTGATTACCTCATCAGTCGACCATGATGCACGAACGTCTCACCCATCACCAAAACCAAGCTACCCCACAAACGAATAAAAAAGCGTTTCATCCTTGGCCAGTGGCCTCTCTCTCTCTCTCTCTCTCTCTCTCTCACACACACACACACACACACACACACACACACAGACAGTCCGAGGAAAACTCTGCGATCATTCATCATCCAATCAAACGTAGCTGGACGATGAATGATCTTATTCACGTGGGTGGCTTGGTACCGGCGAACGATGTGTTTTCTCTTTTGATTGTTTGTGGTGATGGTCGGATGAGTGGGAGGAGGAGGAAGAGCAGCTTGAACGGGGCAGAGGGGAGGAGAGGGCAGGAGAGAGGAGGAGAGGGGAGAAGAGGGGAGGAGAGGGGAGGAGAGGGGAGGCGAGGTTCGAGAAGCTAATGACTCGAGTGTAACAATTTCGGTTTTTTTTTCGTTTTGTATTTTTGTCAGATAATAATCGTGTTAAGGCATAATACTTAAGACGTGAACTTTTTTCTCGACTGCATCTGGACGTTATACGGCGCTCAGATGCATTCGCGAAAAGTCCCTAGTGTGCATATGCCCTTCTAAGAGCTTCCTGGGTTGTTCCCCTTTCACAAGCAGAGATTTCTCACTGCGAATTTCTTGACTGCATCTGGACGTTATACTGCGATCAAATACATTCGGGAAAGTTCTTACTGTGAATATGCCATTTAAAAGAATTTCCTGGCTTTTACTGCTTTTTTTTTTTTTTTTTTTTTTTTTTGGGGGGGGGGGGGGGGGGGACCACTGCTCGATTCATGCGTGTCTCATCCTCGCGCAGGGCACCATTACTCCTTCCTTAATTATCTTAGGGAATACTAACACTTTTTTTTTTTTTTAATTAGGGAATACTCGCACTACCGCTAGCACTTTTCTAAATGTATCTGACCGTAATTACGGCCGGACGTAGATGCATCTGACCGCAATCACGTCCAACACTGCGTCGAAGAAGTACTCGCGTGAGTGTGGCCCCTTAATCACATCCAAACATGCACACGGATTTATCCGCCGGAAAATTATCCCAAAAAAAAAAAAAAAATCACCACGAGCATGTATGAATAAGGTTCTTTGTGCGTCCAGCTTCATCCAGTATCTCCTTTAAAATTGGCACCATTTTTTTTATTTTTTTTTGGGGGGAGGGTGAAGGAGGGGAATAAAAAACGGTACAGACAGGGCTCGGAGACACATCTAGATGTGTATAAGAGACAGCCCTTATTCCACACAGATGAGCAGATCCAA